TACATCGATTCGATCCTGAATTTGTAAAGTTCCCGCCAATTTCGCCGATACGCAGCCGCCGCGACGCCGATACGCTGGCGCGTCGTGGTGGTCGTATTGGTGACGTTGCTTGTGCCTCAGGTTCACGTGAATCTGACTTTCTTGGGTTTTTGGGTAATTTACCCATAAATCATTGCTGGTTCATTCAATTATGGATGTAATCCTACTACATGCTCGTTTGCTTAGCGGAAAAGCCGTTTTTTCCCGGTAAGATCTGAAGGAGTACAGTGCAATGAAAGCATTACAGGATGCCTCGTGAAGAAAGCCGTGTTTATGTTGGAAATCTACCTCCAGATGTTCGCGAGAAAGACATCGAGGATATCTTTTCAAAATATGGAAAAATTCGTTTCATTGACATCAAGGGAGGTCGTGGGCCGCTCTACGCCTTCATCGACTTTGATGATCCACGGTGTGTTTTGCTTTCTGTACTTTAGTACTTTCTTATCCTTTTGAAAAGGTAAAGGTTTGATGTGTACGTCTTCGATCTTCTTCGAAGACAATTTTGGTTTTATTTTATTCTAATGTTCTAAAAACCATCATTCGACTTGGCAAGGCTTGTCAGTGAAGGAGAAGGTTAGAGGAAAAGACGAAGTACTCTCACATTTTCTCTTCCCCGACTAGTAAAGAAGCAATCTCTGATAAGGATAATAATTCGTGGTTCCTACCTCGCAAGTTCGCAATTTACACAATATATAAACGCACTTTAAACGATGAGAGGATAAGACGAACAACTTCTTTCTTTGTGAAGATGCTTAGCGCTAGAAAGTGGCAGTAGGCCTTTTCAGCTGGAAAATATTTAAATACCCGAAGAAGTGTGGGAGTTTTGGGCACTACTAAAAAGAGGATCCGAAGTGTATATTTAATAGTAATTGTTATTGAGTCAGCAGTAGCGGTGCAGCCAGTTCACCTCCTCATCTCAACATAGTAGTATGGACTTGGTTATTTGCTTGCTTGCTTTTTACTTAGCCTTTTACAGCTAATCGAGACGTAAATCTAACGGAATCAAAGCGTTTCAACTTAACCGGATTCTCTTTACTCAGATCAACATTTAATCAGCTATTTAAACTTGAAGTAGCGCTAAAGTGAAGCTCTCCTTAGGCAAAGAAAGTTTGGCACTCGAGGGAAAAAAGAACAATATGGCCGTGTTCTCTCAAAAACACATCTTCTGAACTAAGCATTTTCCAACTAAGCAGCCGTGTTTTTATAGTGATGCAGATGATGCCGTACGCGGTCGCGACGGATATGACTTTGATGGATGTCGCATCCGTGTAGAATTCACTCGTGGAGTCGGACCTCGTGGACCAGGAGGTCGTCCACTAAATGGCGGTTATGGAGGAGGAGGCAGAGATTGGGGAGGTCCTCGCCGTGGTGCACCACCTTCGCGTCGTTCGAATTACCGTGTCATTGTCGAAGGACTTCCTGCGACAGGATCGTGGCAGGACCTGAAGGTAACATTTGTTTCTATAATATCAAATCGATTTTCCTTGTGGATTAGTGGGATAGACAGTGGTGTTATTTGTTTTCTCAAAGAAGAAGAGAATTAGGACACTATACTTTTCGTCTACGTTTATTTGCATTGGTGCAATATAAGTCCTCTTATAACAGTTTGTCTCCTCTTTTTTTTTATTTTTTAGTCGGAGTCCGAATTCAGGATCACATGCGAGAAGCAGGGGAGGTGTGTTATGCTGATGTTGCTAGAGATGGTACCGGTGTGGTGGAGTTTACAAGGCTTGATGACATGAAATATGCTGTGAGAAAACTCGATGACACTAAGTTCCGCTCCCATGAAGTGAGTCATTTTGTTTTACATCTTTGAGAAGTTTTGCTCAAGGTCGACATTGTTTAGGGAGAGACTGCGTATATACGTGTACGCGAAGACTCCACCAGCGGTAGCCGCAGTAATGCTCGCTCCAGAAGCCGCTCTCGCAGTCCCCGTCGTTCATCCCCTAAGTATAGCCCTCGTCGCTCACCTTCACGCAGCCGATCGGGTTCGCGATCGCCATCTCGTTCTCGCAGTCGATCGCGTGATTAAATCGATCTTCGCATTCAAATGGATCTTCAGTGACGTTAATGGTACATTTCCGTTTGCAAAACATCGTGTTTTCGAACATTTAACCATGCCGTTTTATCTCGTTCACACATATGAGTATACGTTCCGCCAGCAGCTGTGAAGTTAATGCTACTTCGATTGAAGGAGCACTTGCTGTTAATCACTATTTCTGCCGCGTTCAAATGAAGTTTTATAAGAAATAACGAACGTGTTTCAGCCTCCATTCCACAATGAGAAGGGGAGAGGAGGAAGGAGGATAAGATGTTGGAGAAATGTTATCTAAGAGGAGATATGAGGACGTGTAGCATATGTGACTGACCACCATCAGTGGAGTATTCGATTCCGGATGTGTGGACAGTCAAATCAATTCATAGGAGGGAAGGGGACAAACACACAAACTCACAAACAACAAAATAACGGGGATCTCGGGACGAATACGATTAGGGAGAGAGAAGTAAACGTAAGATTTTTTATTTACTGTTTCAGGTATCGTCGTGGTTCTCGTGCTTCCTGTTCAAGAGAATTTTGCTATTTTCCCAAA